TGAGGGGGTCTGTATCCTTTCCGCGCCCTATATATATATATATATATATATATATATATATATATATATATATATATATAAAGAAATTTTAAAAATTTATTTAGCAATGATGCGTAAAATTGATAAGTGTAACAGTAAATACATTTTTAATGTTAACAAAAGATACATTTATACTGTTAAAAAACTTTCTGACAAAAGTAGCTCTTGATGTTAAAGGTAAGAAACTTGTAAGGTAAAATCTGAGGCGTATGTATAAACTGCTACGCAGAGAGACTGTTAGAACAAACATCTAATCAAGCAGGTAATGAAAACATTGAGGCATTTGTCCGACACCAAGATGCACTTTATTTTATTTAAACCTCCTTTTTTAAATTTAATCCCTTTAATTTAATTTAAATTTAAATTTAATCCCTAATTGAGATTTAAATCTGAGTTTAAAGTTATGAAGCATCAGGATTAAAGTTAATCTATCTTAAATTAAATAAAAACTGAAGTGACGTGTGGCGACCTATACTCGGAATGTGTGCTCTGCATTTAACCCATCCAAGTGCACACACACACAGCAGTGAACACACACCCGGAGCAGTGGGCAGCCATATTTCTGCTTTGCCCGGGGAGCAGTTGGGGGTTCAGTGCCGTGCTTAAGGGTCTCACCTCAGTCATGGTATTGAGGGTGGAAGAGAGAGCTGGTCATTCACTCCCCCCAACTACAATCCCTGCCGGCCCTAAGACTTGAACCCGTGACCTTTGGGTTACAAGTCCAACTCTCTAACCATTAGGCCACGACTTCCCCCGTAAATCCAGCAATGATTATTTTTAACCTGCTTATTTTAGGTTTAAAGTTTGCAACAGAATTATTAGATAAACCTTGATTTAATCTAGATTTAAGCTTAATCCTTACTGGTGCAACCCACTCAATATTTCACAATATTACAGTTTTTACTGTATTTTTGAGAAAATAAATGCAGCCTTGATGAGCATAAGGGATTTCTGTCAATAAATTTAAAAAATCTTAATTATTCTAAATGTTTGATGGGTATCTATTCATGTATGCATATTAAATATATATTAAAACATGCATATATATATATATATATATATATATATATATATATATATATGTAAGCATAATATTATAAAGACATTAAGTTATTTGCTTTTATTTATATATAAAATGTTCAAGATTTCTGATGACCACATTATCCCCTTAAGTTCGTTTATCTTGTTGTGTATATTTACCTTCTGCTTTGCTTCAGTTTTAATGCACTTTATTTGCATGACAAGTAGCTGTACATTCATATTGGCAAAAGATTCACATGTTAGCTGCCTACAAAGAAACTGTGTACTTAAACTATGGAAAACAAAATAAACACAGTTATTAAGGAGAAAAGATGTGGATAACTTGTAAGAATAAAAATTCAGTTCTAAATGACTAATACATAAGAAAGAGAGTCAGTAATATTGGACATGTGCAGTGCATCAGTGTACACAGTTTTTTTTTCTCATCGCCTCTTCATTCTGATTTCTTGTTTCTCTCCTGTCAATGTAGGCTAATGAAATGCTACTGAGTGGGAGGAAGCTGACAGCTCAGGAGGCTTGTGCCAAAGGACTCGTGTCCCAGGTTCTGTGGCCAGGGACCTTCACACAGGAAGTCATGGCCCGCATTAAGGAGCTAGTATCTTGTAATTCAGTTGTAAGTCATCTTTTCATTTGTTTGTTTGTTTTTGTCACATTTTCTTAACGCATACATCCACACATTCCCCTCCACCTTTCATACTGTTTTTTTCATGTGCATTTGATCCTCAAAGTCTTTCTAGAATAAATTGGAAATAAGCTTAATCCTTAACTGTGACACTTCTGCTGTTTTTACAGTCTTTTAAACCCTTCTCTTAGACCTGTGAAGATTATGAAATATTAGTACATCATGTATTTTTTTTTTTTGTTAAAATGCAGTTGCAGATAACAGTTCACTTCTGAACAAATTCACAATGCATCCACATCCATAAATCATGTGCCTTTTCCTTTTCTTCCTTATTTTGTTCCCCTCATTTTATTTGTCATGGTGATGCTGCCGGAAACACTGAAGGTTCTACGCGAGTCCAAAGCACTGGTGAGGAACATTAACCGAGCCGCCCTGGAGCAGGCCAACGAGAGGGAATGTGAGGCACTTAAGAGGGTCTGGGGCTCTCCTCAGGGAATGGACTCCATACTCAAATATCTCCAGAAGAAAATCGATGAATTCTAAGTCAGTTACATGTCTTACGGGTGTCACAACCTCCATCCTCAAGTGCCTGATGTTATTTAAACAAGGTTTGCCAGTGGTTACTTTTTTAGTAGGATTATGATGGAACTCTCTAACAGAGAAAGACTGGCGTGGTCAAACCCGCACTTCATCTTCGTCCAGGACGTATTTCCTTTTCTTCAGACTGCAGAAACACTTGATAATGACTTTAATGCAAAGTTTGTGATAAATCTTGCACTGTGCAGAAGGACAAAATGCCTTGATATATGTAAATTCCTGTCATCTTTCTGCTCAATCTCTTGTATCAGGACTAAAGTAATGAAATGCTTTGTCATAGAGGTATTACGGATTTGGGCTACTTTTTGAAGCACCACCTATGCAGACAGATTGAGAAAAGATGGATAATAGTGTAATTTTAAGAAAGGGATGCATGAGACTTAAAGTCGAATTTTGCGCTTGTCTTGGTTTGGTTATCGCTACACTAACAGATTGTAATTAGAATCAAGTCTTTAGTTGGTAGCAGGCTTTTTTTCAGTAGGTACTTTTTTATTCAGCAACTATAAGGCATCTCAAGCCTCGTTCACCTCTTGCTGGCATTTATATCCAGCCCTTTAAAGTCATTTTTATGAATGGATACAGTTAAATCAAGAAGAGCAGACACTGAAGCCAACAAAAATGACACCATTTAGCGTCAGTGCTGTTATATAGACTTTAAAGCTACTAATGCATTAAAGGAAAAGCACATTGAATTTCCGACTTGCATAATAACGATCAAGTGAACAAAATGAATACTTAAGTACATGTGGATTTGTAAGGTGCTGGCTTAGTGGGAATTAACAGTTATTTGTATCAAAGTTAAATTTTGTACGTTTTGCTGGCTTAATTTTAAAATTTTCATACATTTGTATGTTCTTGGCGTACAAACGGTTTGCTTTGGAGTAACATACCACCAAATAATTTTGATGTAAATGTTGTTGACACAATATTTCTAATTTAATAACTTATGACATTATGAAATTGAATGGGGTGTGTCCCTCATGAGTCAATAAAGGATGCTGGCATTTTAAATCTGCATCCTTTTTTTCTGCTGGTTCAAACAGATTGGACTGCTGTGTCACCAGAAGAGCCCTGGAGATTAAACAGCCATCTCTACGGGAAGATCCTACTGAAATCCACCCAAACATCTGTAGCGACTAGCTAGTATGCACTGTTATTAAATAGAATGGCTTTCTTTCATTACAATTTTTTTATAACATGGGTTGGGTTGGAGTCAGAAAATGGGTTGAGACTGTCCACAAAAAAAATGTCCCCCCGTCCTAAAGTCCTACCTCTCAACATCCCTATTTAGATTTTTTTTAGCAAAGAAGCGTCCTGTTCAAATCGTAGTTATTTTCAAAACCTCATGCTGCATGCTTCTGGTACAGACATCTATGCACTATTTCTTACTCGGCTCCAAACGTTTTGCTTGTAATTGGTCTGTTTTACAAATACTTTACAGGAACAAATTCATCAGCTCAGCCCCAGCAATAAAATGTGAAACTAATATATGTTTTTAATTGTATCCTGTATTTATTGACCATAGATAGTTTGCTGAAGTGGTTCCTTAACATGGATTAACAGATGGTTGTGTATGTTTTTCCCTTTCCAAATGTTTTTTTAAAATGAATTCTTGTTTACGAAATTATATTTATCCGGAAACACTGAAGGTTCTACGCGAGTCCAAAGCACTGGTGAGGAACATTAACCGAGCCGCCCTGGAGCAGGCCAACGAGAGGGAATGTGAGGCACTTAAGAGGGTCTGGGGCTCTCCTCAGGGAATGGACTCCATACTCAAATATCTCCAGAAGAAAATCGATGAATTCTAAGTCAGTTACATGTCTTACGGGTGTCACAACCTCCATCCTCAAGTGCCTGATGTTATTTAAACAAGGTTTGCCAGTGGTTACTTTTTTAGTAGGATTATGATGGAACTCTCTAACAGAGAAAGACTGGTGTGGTCAAACCCGCACTTCATCTTCGTCCAGGACGTATTTCCTTTTCTTCAGACTGCAGAAACACTTGATAATGACTTTAATGCAAAGTTTGTGATAAATCTTGCACTGTGCAGAAGGACAAAATGCCTTGATATATGTAAATTCCTGTCATCTTTCTGCTCAATCTCTTGTATCAGGACTAAAGTAATGAAATGCTTTGTCATAGAGGTATTACGGATTTGGGCTACTTTTTGAAGCACCACCTATGCAGACAGATTGAGAAAAGATGGATAATAGTGTAATTTTAAGAAAGGGATGCATGAGACTTAAAGTCGAATTTTGCGCTTGTCTTGGTTTGGTTATCGCTACACTAACAGATTGTAATTAGAATCAAGTCTTTAGTTGGTAGCAGGCTTTTTTTCAGTAGGTACTTTTTTATTCAGCAACTATAAGGCATCTCAAGCCTCGTTCACCTCTTGCTGGCATTTATATCCAGCCCTTTAAAGTCATTTTTATGAATGGATACAGTTAAATCAAGAAGAGCAGACACTGAAGCCAACAAAAATGACACCATTTAGCGTCAGTGCTGTTATATAGACTTTAAAGCTACTAATGCATTAAAGGAAAAGCACATTGAATTTCCGACTTGCATAATAACGATCAAGTGAACAAAATGAATACTTAAGTACATGTGGATTTGTAAGGTGCTGGCTTAGTGGGAATTAACAGTTATTTGTATCAAAGTTAAATTTTGTACGTTTTGCTGGCTTAATTTTAAAATTTTCATACATTTGTATGTTCTTGGCGTACAAACGGTTTGCTTTGGAGTAACATACCACCAAATAATTTTGATGTAAATGTTGTTGACACAATATTTCTAATTTAATAACTTATGACATTATGAAATTGAATGGGGTGTGTCCCTCATGAGTCAATAAAGGATGCTGGCATTTTAAATCTGCATCCTTTTTTTCTGCTGGTTCAAACAGATTGGACTGCTGTGTCACCAGAAGAGCCCTGGAGATTAAACAGCCATCTCTACGGGAAGATCCTACTGAAATCCACCCAAACATCTGTAGCGACTAGCTAGTATGCACTGTTATTAAATAGAATGGCTTTCTTTCATTACAATTTTTTTATAACATGGGTTGGGTTGGAGTCAGAAAATGGGTTGAGACTGTCCACAAAAAAAATGTCCCCCCGTCCTAAAGTCCTACCTCTCAACATCCCTATTTAGATTTTTTTTTAGCAAAGAAGCGTCCTGTTCAAATCGTAGTTATTTTCAAAACCTCATGCTACATGCTTCTGGTACAGACATCTATGCACTATTTCTTACTCGGCTCCAAACGTTTTGCTTGTAATTGGTCTGTTTTACAAATACTTTACAGGAACAAATTCATCAGCTCAGCCCCAGCAATAAAATGTGAAACTAATATATGTTTTTAATTGTATCCTGTATTTATTGACCATAGATAGTTTGCTGAAGTGGTTCCTTAACATGGATTAACAGATGGTTGTGTATGTTTTTCCCTTTCCAAATGTTTTTTTAAAATGAATTCTTGTTTACGAAATTATATTTATGATTGCGGAAATAGAATTGTTTTGATTCTTTCTATTATACTTATTGAATGCTTCTGTTCAGTTATTTTAATTTGAGAACTAAACTGATGTTAGTGAACTAGTTCGATTTGTGACAATTAACATTCAATATCGGTTAATAACCCTAAAAGACAAAAACCAGAAACACATCCTAATTTTCTTAATGCAGCTTTGCAATATCTGAAATGTTTTTGTTTTTTTTGAGAGACATTATTTGAGCCCAACCCTCTCTCTATTATGGATGTCTTTTGAATTCTGTATATATACAGGGTGTTGTAGTTTGATGTAAAACATTGCTGACTCTATACCAGAGGAAAAAATTACTTTGTTCCAGTCATTCCACTGACAAAAGTCAGCATTTTCTGACTTTAGGCTTAGCTGTACATATGTGATCTGCATTTAGTTTTAAATGCTGGCCAAATTAGATTATATATATATATATATATATATATATATATATATATATAGAGTGGGCAGGAAAACTAT